AGGGGGGAATGGGGAAGGAGCGGGGGAAAATGAGCTGATGCCAGGGGCTTAGGTGGAGAGCAAATGTTTTGAGAATGAGGGCAATGAATGTACAAATGTACTGTACATATTTATGTATGTATGGAATGTGATAAGAGTTGTATGAGCCCCTAATAAAATGATTAAATAAAATTTTAAAAAGCTGTGTTTATCAGATTACCTGAGGAGCAGGAAGTACTAATTTGCTTCTCTTCTTAGTAAATTCAGAAACACCACTAGTTTGAAGAATAGCTGATGGTAAATCGGATTCCTTTTTCCTTTTCAAATGTTGTTTGTCTTTTTTTCTATCTCTTCCTTCTTTTTCACTGACATGGGTAAGGTAGAGAAGAAATAGTTCTAATTTACATATAGGCAATAATATTAAAAACCATAGAAATACCCATTCTTTGACCAAATAATTGCATTTGTAGCAACTAAAAAGTTGTTCAATACAGCATTACTCATTGTACTCAAGAATGCAAACTTAGAACAGTCATTATTATTAACAGCACACTAGTAAATATAAGTACTGAAGATTAAACTACTCAACCCTGTGATGATAAGCAAAATGCTCCATAGATGGTCAAAGGAGCAGAAATCAAAGTTACTTGTATACAATGACTATAGCCAACCGATATACAAGTGCCTATAGGCAGAGACTGAAGAAGACTGGCCACCCCTCCATCCGGTCAACTGTGGTTTTCAGGAATAAAGAATGTCATCTGCCAACTGCTATGCCAGAACTGTTCCAACATATTTTTCACAAATAACATATAATACGTGAAACTGACAGGATTAATCAAGAGCTCTGGCACAGTGGTTGCCAAAAAAAAAAAAAGAAGAATGTACACATTACTTGCATAAAAATACTCTTGCCAAATGATTAGTTTTTCTCTTCTTATCTCTTTACATATGCAGCCTAATTTGAAAAATAAATACAATTGAGTAAATCCAAGAAAACCCTATTTTAATGTAGATATTATCTGTTGCTTAGAAACGGAACTCCTGTTAGCAGGACTAGGAGGTCAATCAAGAGTAGAAACTTAAAATATCCTTGGCAATCATTATGAAATGTTCTCCCACAATATTCTGACAAACACTGAAAGAAACTCTAAAAATCTCTACAAACAGACAAAACCCTCTGCCCTCTAAAAGGGAACTATTAGATAGATAGATAGATAGATAGATAGATAGATAGATAGATAGATAAATGGGAACTATTTTATAGATATACACTTCATTAAAGTGAAGAGACTTATAAATGTATGTATAATTTTTTTCTTTTGATTTTATTTAACATGAGGAAAAGAGAAAAAGAACCAGATTACATGTGAGAGACAGATCCCTCCAGCCCACTAGTAAAATAACTACCTAATCTGCAAATGGTACATAAAGGTTAAAGTACTTTGATTTGGTGAATGGACAGTCTGCTGAAAGCTATGAGCTGACAGTTCAAGAGAAAGAACAGTAACCTGAATGAAAAACAGGACAGGGAAGGTCATGCACTGTCTCTGAGAGGGAAGTCCATTAATCAAAAGAATATGAAGCCACACTGGAGGAAATAATTTTAAACCTCTGGCTCCAACAAGAATAACATTGGTCCTCTCCATTAAATTCCCACGATACCATTTTCATACTCAGAAAAGCAACTTACGATCTTAATTCACCATCAAGATCCTGTTGTCTTAATTTCCTGAAATCTGCATCAAGAGCCTGGTAATTTTCCTCAGAAGTATCATAGAAGCCAAGAGCAGGCTTTTTTTCAAATGGGATTTCTGCATTGTAATCAACCCCTCTCTTCTTTTTCCTTTTCTTCTGAATTTCTATGCCAGCTGCTCGCAGCTCTCTCCTCTTCTGGAGAGCAGCCAGACGCCTGAGGAGAAACAAGGTTATCTTGAAGAAATGCAATCAGCTAGTCACCTGGGGAAAGCTTTTACTTAGTCTCCAACTCATACCACTCACCCAAATAAAGTCCAGCTTTAATTTACACACACACACCATACGCAATAAAGCAAAAGGAAAATCAGAAGGAACTATAATTAAATATATATCTAATCTCCAAATGGAGATACTTAATACAAGAGGGCTTAAAAAAATTCATGAGGAAACGCTATCATCTCTTAATTCCGTTTTACAAACTTTTGAAACCTTATGGCAAAAAAATATTTAAAATTTTAAGATTTA